TTTGCAACAACAACAAAGCAATAGCAATAGCAGTTAGACTTATATACCGCTTCATAGAGCTTTCAGCCCTCTCTAAGCGGTTTACAGAGTCAGCATATTGCCCCCAACAACAATCCGGACAATAAGATTGTCATGAACAAAAGGGGGTTTGTAACCTATGATCCCCCTACTCGCCCACTTGGTTTGAACTTGCAGCTTAGTGGGGAAATGCTTTGATAGTTCAGTAGGTGGAGTTGAATCATACAGGCCTGGCAAGGCCTATGCATGTGTGGCCCAGCCCCAGATTGCTCTGAGAGAAAAAGTCTTGCAAAACATGGCCTGAAAAAATCTAACAATTTATTACTTAAACGTGGGTCCTGGTTCTGTATCCTCACTGCTGGGCTTCCTCCAGCAGCCACCCACTCTCTCTTCCTACAGAGCAGCTCTCCCTGCAACCACCCAGCAGCAAAGCCCATAGGAAAGAGAGAGAGAGCCAGTCCCATGATCCTTATTGGTTCAACCAATCAACACATCTGATTGGCTGGCAGTTGCTCCCTCCTGTCCTCAGCTGGGATATCCTTTTCAGACCAGGCCCTAGGAAATGCACTTTAACAAAGACAACAATAGGTAAATGAAACACAGCTTTTTCATCACAAATATAGAAGAGCAATTAGGGAGGGCTTTCAAAAATTCAGTTAATAGCTCATTTTAAATTGCTCCCCTGTGGGGCGTGGGGCCCACATTGGGAACCACTGTTCTAGACAATTGCTAGCTTTCCTCTGTGTGATTTGCAAAAGTCCTGCTTTGCTGAAAACTGCAGTCTGTGGGCACAGTGCTGGAAGAGAGACTGCTTGAGCAGAGGATTGGGTAGAAGACTTCTAAGGTCACTTCCAACTCTGTTATTCTGTAATGGTATCTTGTCAATTGTAAGAAACAAAGGATGTATCTTGTGAGTTGCTTGTGAAGCAAACAGTGAAGAGTACCTAGGAGCTGGAGCTAGTCATCAGTGGTTAATATTATCCAGAAAAAGGGCATGGCTATTACTCTGCTAAAGTCAAAATAATATTGGCCCTGAAAGGAATGCTGATAAAAGTTAGGGTGATAAACATAAAAATACAATCCAAACAGATAACCAGTCAACAAATACATCTTCTGATAGCTAAAACTAAAGGCTGCAAGGGGCTAGCTACAGAAGTGCCACTATTTTATCATCCCAAAGGATGTGTGCCCATGTTGTGAATGCGAGAACGTCTTATTCAGATGTGCATACAGAGCACATTGCATGCTTTTGAATATTGTAAACGACAGCAAAAATATAAAAGGAAACCTAGTCCTTACAGTCCCAAAACTATATGCATTGCATTTTTCAGAGTATAAGATGCACTTCCCCCCAAAAATGTGAGTGGAAATGTCCGTGTATCTTATACTCCAAATATTGTGGGGGGGGAGGGGGTTGGTGTGGCGCCAATCAGCTGTTTTGGAACAGGCCACAGAGGCGGCGCTGAACGGGCCACACCTAACAGGCCGTAAATGGGCAGCGGTGGCAAATGAGCCACAGCAAACGGGCTGCGGCAAATGGGCCACGCCGAATAGGCGGTGGCGAATGGGCAGGCCCAATGGGCGGCAGTGAATACAGTAGTTTAATTACTGCCAATATTGATTGACTAATTTTCTCAGACTTCAAAACAGGGATTGAACTAATGGGCTAATTCCAGGCTAATATACTGTAGATTACAGCTCCATAGTTCTGAAAGTGATTTTTGAAGAATTTGCCTGGGAGTGATAAGAACTCTGTGCCCGTGAACAAGTTACACAACGTAGTTCTTCAGTATTTTACACTGCGATTTTGAGATGGTGGTGCAGAAATAATTTCTAATTACTACCAGTTTAACTCTTTCCCAATCTTGTTCATCAACCAAACTTTAACCATGCTCACATCTTCACTGTCACTCTCATCCTGATCTTGTATCCTCTTCAGCTTTTCTTCTTCCTCCTTTTTGTCTTTTTCTGGCATAATATCATCCAGCCAACTCAGATGTTGTAGAGAGAAGATGTATTCCATTGCCTTCCGAATACCCACTAGAGCCAGCAGCTAGAAGGTGAGATAATCATCACATAAAATTAGTCTGCTTGTAATTATTAATAATTTAAATAGCGTTATTACTGCATACACAACATCACTGCAGATTATAAAAACATGTTAAAATGTTCAAGGAGTTTACAATTGAAATGTCGAAAAAGAGAACTGGAACAAAAGCAAAGACAAAGCTAATGAGTGATTAGTATGAGCAAATGTAGGTATTTGCCTTTACCTTCTGGTTGGTTTGGGGTGAGAACTAAAGGGTTGTGCCAAAGTCTTCAAGAAAATATGAATTTTGAAGAGGTGTTTGAATGAAGACAATAACTGCCATAAGGAAATTTTGTTACGGAATTCTAGGTATAGAGACGTTCCTCCCATGCTCCCACATGAAGAGGTCTTGTGTCAGCATTCCAAATATCATGCAGAATTAAATCAGAGTCCAAGGCAAAGATATCCTTAAAGTTCCAATTTAAAGACAGACATGTTGGCAAATCTGTGGAATCCCAAATTAAAAGCTTCCTGGGATTCCACCCAGTTGAAAGTTCATGATCTTATCCCTACACCCATAAATCCATCACATCGTCCAATTCTCTTCGGCCAT